AACTGACCCCCCCCCTCCCTCACATCCCCGCCACCCTGGGAAGGGGGTCGCGCTCCCTTCCCTCCTTTTGCAACTTTTCCCTTGAATTACCGCTCCCACTTTTATGTTTTTAGTACTTTAATTTAATTTAATTTCCATGATTATGGGTGGGCGGGGCGCCCCTCTCGCCCCGCCTCCCCTCTGCTCCCCCTCTCCCCCCCCACCCCACACCGGTACAAGCACCGGGGGTGCCGACGCCGGCTCCTCTCCCTCAAATGTGCCCTTTCCCCCCCCCCGAACCAGGGGTCGCAGGGGCAGCCGCCCCCCCACCCAACGCCGGGTGGGAGCAGTGCAGGTACCTGGCTGGGGTTTGTTTGACAAAGCGTAGGGATGTGCCGGGACTCTGCTTTGTTACACCTACAAGAAAATAAAATAAAAATAATAATAATTAAAAAAAAACCCTCAACCCCAAATCCCCAAACTTATAGCAGTCGCGTGAGTCATCTTACAAAGGCCGTTCTCTCTCCTTTTCAGGCTTAAATGAGAGTTTCAGGGATAAAGGCATGGAGAGGAGAAGAAAAATGCAGTTTTCGTCTCTCAGGAATTGTGCCCCCGCTTCCCTTTGCTGTGGCAAGCAGTCCCGCTGGCTGGCCACTGCCAGCTCCGGCAGGGTAAGGGGCTTTCTGGGGGCTGAACTTCACAGGGAGGACAATGGAGCTGCTGCTTGGTAGCCCAGGAGCTTGTGGTGAGAAATGACTCGCGCAGTGTGGAGGGGCTGCTACGTGCACCCAGGGGCTGTGGTCCACTTGGCTTCAGCACAGCTTGCAGTACCTGCTGCCCCCAGCAGTGTGATGCTAAAATATGTCCAACATATTGGACCCTTCCATATGTCCAACATACTGGACCCCACCCTTCCATAGGCTTTGGTGGGATCAGCTCAGGCCCTTTCTGCCTTGCAGCCCCTTGGTGCAACCATCTGCAGGAGGTGGAGGGTGCTCATCCACTTGAGGGTTTGCAGCAGCTGTTAATTGGGGTAAGAAAAGTGCTAATTGCCTTCTGCAGGGTCTCCCTCCACCTAGTTGTGTGAGGGCAGGGAGGGGTGAGGGTAGTTTAGTTATGGGGTCTCATCTTTTGGCAGGGAATGTAACCCTTTCCCAGGATGATGCTCAAAGCCCAGGTCTCTACAGCAACCTGATGGCAGAGACGTGTGTCCCCCCGCAGCAGAGCCGTCACTGCACAGGTAGGTGCCAGCGATGTTCTGTGGTACGATGTAGGTATTGAAGTGAAGGTCTGTATCCTCCTGGCTGCCCTGAACTGCTCTGGTGTTGCTCCTAGGGTCTATCTAAGCCAAAATTGGTCACACAAAGAGCCACCTGTGATTTCTAGATGCGACATGAAGGAGGCTTTTTTCTACCTCTGTGGGGTAATTAGGGAGCAGCAAGGCTCCACCAGGTTGGAAGAGAAATATCTCTCCTGGGGATTGATCTCAATCACAGTGGGTTGAAGGAGTAAGTCCTGGTGCAGTGTCACAGGCTGAAATTCTTGGAAGTGACAGGAAGGACCCTGCAAGTGCTTTGTATGTCTGGAAATCCCGCTCAAGCCCGCATCAGGCTTAGCACCCAAATTCGGTGGCTTTCAAGATGTACTTGGCCCATTCCGTAGACCCGGGGGAAAAAACCGTGAGCAGCCAGGCAGCTGCTCTGAAGGGTCTGGCCCACGAGGAGCAGCTTGTGGTGTGCAGTGCAGGCAGGGGGGTTCTGCCTGGTGGGTTCCTGGGAAGCGGAGGGGAGCTGCTTGGGTGTGTAAATGTGCTGGTGTGTGCGAGCAGCCACCGGATCGCTTCCTCAGCTCAAGCCATGTAATGCTGGTGCCTGTCTTCAGCATCTTCAACGCTGGCTTGGCTGGGGCAGGGGGCTTCTCTTGAGCTCACTGGCAATAGAGGCTTAGGCAGAAAGGGCACTGCTGCGGTGGAGTTACATCGATGGTCTTTTGTTACCCCATCTTTAATTTCTGATGCAAGCCCTTGTCACCGGAAAGAGGAAGCTGCTGTCTTTGAAGCTTTTCAGGAGAAAACCTTATGTATCGAAGAGGCACACTCAAGAGTAATAACTGGATTTTTATTGTACAAAAATGACTACAGGGATTTTTTTTTTTTGGTTAATAACACACCGTTCAAACACCAGTAAATCCAGTCTCAAGGGAGAGCGTGTAGCCTCCAGCCCCAGCGATTCTACACTCAGTTTGGTGACAAACTTGACTTGGCCAAATTAGCTTGAGGGCTGCTGATGGTGATGTGTGTTTCCAGACAGATGAGGCTTTTGGGTCTGGGCAGCACAAAGCAACTGCTTACGCTTTCTTAAAAATACAGCTGGTTTCCCGTCTGAAGGTATGTACATCTGTACTCTGAGAAATGTAATCTTATTTGAAATCTCTCTATAAAGCTAATGACTATGTAAGATCCAGTAGAACAAGACATCATTAACACTGTCTGTGTTCACAATCAACTTCCTGATCATAATCTGGGGGGAGAGAGAAAGCATTCAGCGATGTGCTACCCATCCCCAGAGGGTGGGGAGAAGAAATTATCCTCTCCCGGCCCAGGTAAGGCCAAAGTGATGGACGCACGGTTGGTCTGGAGACCTCGTGTCCCTGTGTGGCTTTGGCCAGCATAGTGCAAGGTGGAGAACTCTGCTTGGAGAGAGGAACTCTGCTGTGAAGGGTCTCCAAGCCCTCATACTACATGTTATTTCTTGCATCTGCCAAAGGTGAAGGCAAAACAGTCACCTGAGTTGGTGTGTGTGTTGGTGGGAACATTGCAGACAAAGTGCTGGGTAAATCCTGCTGAGACCCACGCCTTACAGGGAGCTGACATGAGCTTCTGGGCTTTTTTTGCCAAAACTTTCTGGACCTCAGTGGAAAGCAATAGAGGTCTCATTGTGATAAGGGTCAAGAAAGCAAATGCCAGAAATAAACGGTGAGGGGCAGTTAAGCCCCCTTTCTCCCTGGTGAGCAGGTGAATCCCTGGCTTGCCAGGCTGGACTCTGCTTATGCTGGTTTTGCTGGGAGCAGGACTAGAGTTGTGTCTTTAGCTTTACCACCGATACAGCTGGCTCCTGGGCAGTTAGGGTTTGCAATTAGATACCATGTGGAAAAGAAAAAGGAATTCAGTCTAGATAGGAGTGTATGCTTTAGAGCTATGAATATAGTTTTCTCACTTTGGGGGGGAACTAAGTTTATTTGAGTTTATTCTTTGAAGGGAATTCCCTGTCTTCAGCTTATGCTCTGTTCAAATGTGATCTTTCTTGGGCTTGATGAACTTTTTTTTTTTTTAATAACTCTTCTGATGTGTTTTTGCACACCTACAATTAGTTTCAAAATGCCTGAGAATAACCGGAGGATTTCTGAGATGCACTTTGAAAATAATAATAATTTTAAAAGCCTTTTGGAGATTTTATGATTTCTCTCTGGTTTTGTTTCTTCCAAGGCAGCCTCTGGCCAGCCTTGTTTCTATTCACAGCCAGTTGCATGGTGCATCTAATGCTTGGCAAAGCCCGGCACCTCCCCCTTTTCTCTTCTCCTTCTCCTCTTGAAAAGAGGCAGCCCTGGGTTTAAAAGTTGGTTTTTAGCTTTGATTGTGCGTATGTGCTATATGAATGCTAAGCAGCCTTTACAATGCGCCCTTGTGATGTGCCCGGGAAGGCAGAGGCGGGCTGTGAGGTCTTCCTGGGCTTCCCATCATTCATACTGCTTGGGAGCAGTTTGATATGGGCATGTTTTATTTACGAGCGAGCTCTAGGGTGAATATAGCTGTGTTACGGGCAGCAGCTGAGGGACCCAATGGGCTGAGCCAGTGACACCTGTAAATCTGCCATGTTTGGAACTCTTTTCTGTAGTGGAGGAGAAGTATTTTCCCCAACGGTGGTGTGGGCTGGCAAAGGAGGCAGCTCCCAACAGGAGGCATGGACCTGGCATGGATGTGTCCTGCCTGGATGATGGGTGTAGTTTTGCCTCCTGGGGCCACCTCTTCTTCCCTGCCTCCAGCCCGTCCTCTAGCATGAGCACAAGTGGCAGCACCCCAAAGCCAAGGGTGAGATTTCTCTCACCTGCTGCCCAGCTGGAGTTCAAGCAGCCAGGGATGGGGTGCTGCTGTTGCATCGTTGGTGGCTGCACTGCTGGAGCACGAGTGAGAAAAGTGGATGGTGAGAAAAGCACTGGCATGAATTCAGCCTCTTCTCCTCCATTTATGTTTAGTCTCCCGAGTTCACCCCATGCAGCATTAACACATCAAATCCCTCAGCTCTTTTAGGACATCCTTCTGACAGTGTGGGCAGTGTTTCCCCCCCAGTTCAGAAGAGGATCGGATGTTTTATAGCTCTGCAAAAAATATCATTTGGCTCTGTTCCCTTTTTTTAAATCAGTCCTTTCCTTCTGGACTAGGCAGGCACGTCCTTCCAACACCCATGCGGCTGGGGGTGCCAGTACACATTTTTCACAGCCTAACAGAAGGCTGCAGGCTGCCACAAGACTCAAGGAAGAGGGCACCTGGGCTCCTCAGGGTATTTTCAGCCTCACTACTCTCTTTCCGTGCCCCGGCTGATAACCGGAGATAAGGGAGGAAGCCGCAGGCAGGAGCTGTGGTCACCTGTGGTTTTTGTACCGCATTTAGGAGCAATAAGTTGTGCTCTTGCAAGGGGAACCAACTGATAAAACCCAGCAGAGCAGGCAGTAGGCTGAGTCTTGCCAGAAAAGCCACACTGCCACACAGCCTGTGTGCCGGCTGCCAGGACAGTTTCCCGGTGTGCCTCCAGCCCTGCCTCTCTTCCCACTGGGATGGGGCTGGGGGGACACCCTGCTTCTCACCAGGGTTCCCTGGGCAGAGAGCTGCTGAGGCAGGCATATTTCAATAACACGGCACCCAGAGGACATTTAATCCCAGAGAAAGTGAAGTGTTGTAAAGACCCCCTCTCAATGGCCACGGTGCAGATGAGTACGCACGTTCCCCCAGCGCTCACTTCAGTAGTGCCCTTGCGTGCGCTGAATCTGCCTCCCTTACTCAGAGCCCAACCTCTTAACGCCCAAATCCAGTGCTGTGCTGGAGCAGGTCATCAAGGGAGCAGACACAAAGGCAGATTGCCAAGCACTGGAGGTGGGAGAAGCATCTGAAGCATCAGAGGACGTGTGCAAACTACCCAGGAACAGGCATTCGTAACCAAACCAGAAGAAACATCTGTTTAAACCCAGGTGTTTAAAGTTAGAGACCGGCTTTAAGAGCCTTTCAGTGCCTGTTTTTATGGCTGGGGACAAAAGGAGGTACAGCATCTTTTGTGGAGAGAGTAGGAGCACTTTGAAGGGGTGCAGACGAAGATTTTGTGACTTCTCAGGTGGTCCTGCAGTGAGGTGTGAGGCTCCTGCAAGGACAGAGGAGACCTCTGGAGAACTGGGAAGGGAACCGCCCCTCTATACCCTTCAGAAAGCCGACTTGAATCACCCAGGCCTTCGGGAAGGGTTTCTGCTGGCCTGTGGGGACCTCTAGTGTGAGATCTGTCTTTGCACAGGTCTCTGGTAGCATGCATTTAGGGTTGAGGAGGGAACCTGGGGTCTAGGGGAAAATGAAGGTGGGTCTCACGGCCCTTGCTGTGAAACAGGCTCCAGGTGTGCTGTGGTGTGCACCACGGCTGTGCCCTCGCTTCTAACTCACCATCGCTCTTGGTCAGGCTTCTGTCGCTGGTTTTACATGCAGAGCTGTGCTTCATACCTTGTTGCCATCCTTTCAGATTTAACCTGTAACTCCACGCATGGACCAACCCCGCTGCCTTTATACCCGTGCCCCTTTGGTGGTCATTCTCCTTGAAAATGCAGGTGACAACACCACTATCTGTCCCATAGTGCCAGAAAAGAATGAAAGGTGCTAACAACTCTGCGTTTGGATGCAGTCCTAACTCCACCACAGTCTTTTATAAGGCACTTTCCCCACCTGGGTCATGGTAGGAACTATGCAGAGGTGGTCACCTTGCAGCTGTACTCCTGTCCTAGGGGAGTCTGTGCTGCTGTGGATGGTGTCTGGTTCCTGCTCCTGGACATGTGTGGCTGGGCATCAGCTGCCTCCCCAGCCCATTGCCCTCTCTCTGTAGTCCTTTCCTCACTGTTCCCCTTCCCTGCTGTCCATCTGTTGGTCTTTCTCAGGTGTTTTCCAGCTGGTGGCTGGAGTAGGAAGGTCACTGTATGCACATGGGTATATCAGTGTCCCCCACTGGTCATCAGGGAGCCCAACCAGGGCAGGGACCCACGAGCCATGGAGGACAGCCATTTTTTGGAAACAGCTGTGACAGCTCTCATTGGTGTCTCAGGAAATTGCAGCTGAGATGTTTTGCAAGAAAGCTTGCAAGAAAACAAGTGATGTAGTCAGAAAATCATGACTTGCTTTTTCTTATGCATATGGCTTTGTGCAACTCACTTTCTCTTGCTTCTCTTTGATCTACAAAATAGGTCTTCCTTCCTTTTTTTCACTCCTCCTTCTTTGTTATTTTCCTGTAGCTACAGGCACTGATGTGGGATAGTTTTACTTTTCCCCCCACTTTCTTTGCCACCTGGGGGAAGTGCAACTATTTTCCATTATTCTGTTTCACCCCTTCTCCACTGGTCTAGCTCTGAAACTAACAATGATTAAGGCACTTGGTCATTTAGTCTCCCTTTGGCCAGATTGTTCTTGAGCCTTCTTTGAGATTTATTTTTGGGAAATATGCATCCAGCAGGCAGCTGGTTTTGAAGACTAGAAGTTACCTGAGTCTTCTGTAGCCACGGATCCATGGGGTCTTCAGTGCTAGGAGAGGGGAAAGGACAGAGTCAAAAAGTCCATGGATGGTGACAGTGTCCTTAGCAGGGGTTTATATTTTTGTATAGCCAGTTTCCTGAATAGAATACTACCAAAGGGATTTTTTCCCCTCGTCTGCAAACAGAATTTTTAACAGAGCCTCAGCCAAGGTCATTACCATGTGGTGGTTTCCAAATGGGGAAGGAAGACTCTTACGTAGACCTGTTTAGGGGTTTTGATGTCTTCTTTAAACAACAGTTGGTTATTTTTTTTAAACATTTTCCTAAACTTTTTTCCCAAGATACTATTTATGCAGATCTAAAAAAAAAAATAGTGACAGTGTTCATAAAGCAAAACTGTGTCCCAGTGAAAGTGAAAAACGGGGTATTTTGATGCTGATTCTTAATTAAACAGTTTCAAAAATTTTTTTTAAGGAGCTTCACTCTGAACTCGGTGAAAGGCTGTTTTTCTGTCTGCCTTTCCTCTTTTCCCAGCTGACTGCGTGTCAGAGCTGACAGCAGCCCACCAAGAGCCCAGGCAGAAGGCGGCTGCTCTAAAGAGGATTTAATAATTGGGCAGGAGGAGGTGCATCAGCACGTGGTGGGGACTACACTTCCCGAGAGGCTCCGCTGTGGCCATGCCTCCCTTCGGTGGAAACCCAGGCTTTATCAAGAGCTGGAGGGAACAACTGCCAGCTCTCTCCAGGGACAGCCAGCCATGGGGCTGAGGTGCGGGATGAGGACCACCAAGTGCCAGCTGCTGGTGACCAGCCTCTGCGTCATGGTGAGCAGGCAGGTTTGGGGGGGGATCTCTGCAAAATCGAGGTGAACTCTTGCCTTTCCTGTCCCTGCTCAGAGAGGGTCGGATTTTCCCACCCTGTTTTTCATGGGTGGAGGGTAAGCAAAGCCAACTGCCTGGGTTATCATTTCGCCCTGGGTGGTTATCGCTGGCAGCCAGCATCGCCCCCCCTCTGCTGATAGACTTCTTGTTTCTCAGGGCTGTCATGCTGCTGTAGCTCTTTCACAACCCAGCAGCCACCTCAAAGCAGAAAGGCAAGGTCGCTGCCGGCAGAATGGGTGGTTTTCAGCAAAAGGATATTTGCTCCAGGCTCCTCGCAGCAAAAAAGGGAGGATGGACCTGCGGCACTTGTTGCTGGGAGGGTGGTCAGCTGCAGGGACCACCAGTGAGGATGTGAAACCTCAAGGCTTCAGCAGAAGTATATGTGAGACCTGGGGATCTGCACTGCAAAGCAAAAGCAGGTCTAGGAATCCTTTCTGGCAGCTTTTGAAGAAAATTCAAGGGGAGCCTCTTGGCACCTGCTGTTAGAGCTGATGGGAAAGGGTGAAAACTGGGGAACGGTTCTGCTAGATGTTTTTGAGTTGTGTGTGCTTGTTGCATTTTTGATTCTTCAAAACTTGCAAACTTAAAAAATAATAACCTGTATTTAGTTCAAAGAGGGCTGGTGTCTTGGAAAGGGTGTAATTAAAAGGTGATGCCTTATTTTGGGCCACACGTGAAACTTACAGTTTGTCCAAATTTCAATATTTCAGGACCGTTGTGTGTAGTGGCTGTGAATTGTTCTCTCTTCCAAATAGCAGAGTATGTCATTTGGAGAAAATCAAAAGAGGCTTGTTACCAACGGTGTTTAGAGGAGGTGCTAAGGCACAGCCGCCATGGATGGCAGGAATCACGTTATTGCTGTTGGGAGGATTTTAGGCTGGTATTTCTCAGAAATCTGAGCTAACTGTTGTTGCACTTAGCATTTTGCTGGGTGTGAATTGATATACATGAAGGATAAGTAAGTGCCACAGATTTGGTTATTTATAAGCAGAAAATGTGTATTTTGTGCATTTAGTCTCTAAAACTGTAAGTCTCCAGCAAGAGCTATTAGTCTGCTCTGGAAGAAAATGTCATACAGTGGGGATTATGTTGACACCAGACTGTCACATTGGCACAGGGATAGCTGCCTTGTGTTTCCATATTGCAAAAGCACAAAATGCTGAAACCTTATCTTGGGACCTAGGAGTAGCGTCCCATCTTGTATTTTTCAGATCGATTACACTAGAATTGGAACTATTTTTAACTGTCCCACTGTGGTGGTGCCTCTGTCCCAGCTCTGCCATCAGTTCCGCTTCAAGTAGCCCTGCTCTAGAGCCAGGTGCCATCAGAAATGTTCCCCCTCCAGCACCTGGACTTGCTCTGGGCAACACAGAGGGTTGCCTTAGGCAGACCAGTGCTCTCAGGGCTGGGGCAGACACAGACAAACACAGATAGCCCAGTGGGATGTTGTGGAGAAACCAGCACAGATTACTTAAGAGTAGCAGAAGACTCAGCTCCTTGCACTCTGCAATAGGAAATACAGCCGGTAGCAGGCAATGGGACTAGCATTGCAAAGAGCAAAGCAGAGAACATCGTCCCTGCCCAAAACCACCCTTGATGCTGGCAGCCCTCATAATTGCACGTGTGTGCTCTGCAGAGAGGGGTGGGACTGCACGGTGTGTTGCAAGGGCATGGATCCTCTGGGCCTTCCTCTTGTGATGAGAATTTCATCCACAGACACTGGCCAAAAGACCATGGGTTGTGTGGTGTCACGTGCACTCATTATCCAAGAGAGAAAAAGAGCTTTAGTATATTTATATCAAGACCCGCCTGGATGCAGTCCTGAGTAACATGCTCTAGCTCTGGGCAATCCTGCTTCAGCAGGGGAGTTGGACTAGATGATCTCTATGGTCCCTTCCAACTCTAGAAATTCAGTGAAATTCAGTGAAATTTACCTGTCCAGGCTTTGTCTTTTTATGTGCATTTTGGGGTACATGCAGTGGTCCTTGGATGATCAGGCTGTCTGCCTCTGTGTGGAGCTCAGGAGTATCCAGATATACCTCAAAGCTTTGTGCATGCTCAGAAGGAGCTGCTGCCTTAACAATCCCTTCCTGACAACCTTCTTTTCCAGCTGCTGGGGTTGTCCATTGCCACACTGAGCACAGTCACTCACTACGGGCTCCATTTCACCCTCTTCAGCAACATCTCCCTAGAGAGCAACGCCTACAGGGTCATCCACCACGCAGGTAGGTTGCGGTCACATCCCAGTGAGACCTTTGGTGAACCCAGGGCAGAATCCCCCTGATCAGCAAAGGAGATGCAGAGGCATCGCAGGAGGCAGGGGCTGGCTTTTGAAGGATGCACTAGGGGTGACACAGTCCCACAGACAATTTTTTCTGTATCAGACCCTCACGCCTGGCACCAAAAGGTGCTGTGGGAGCACAGGGTGCTCAGGTGCTGCTGCATTCACCCCTGTTCCTCTGCTCACCATCTCCCCGTCCTCCCCCTGCACAGCAGTGAAAGCTGAAGGGGAGCTGAGCCATAGATGGACCCAGAGGTGCAGTGGGGCTGGAAGAGCCCCAGGAGCATGGGGAGAGGGACTGTTACAGGAGCTGATGCAGAGCATAGAACATTGAAGCTGTGAGAAGAAATTTATGGAAGCACCTGTTTTTGGAGGAAATGTGAGGTTTTTTCTATACACAACAGAGAATAAACTGAGTCTCAGTTACAAGGGTAGAGCAAAGAGATGAGAGAGGCTCAGACACTGAAATAACTCTGCTCACCTCTGCTGCACTTCCACCTGCTGCTTCTCCCAAGCTACACTCTGGCTTTAAACATGCTCATACCCTCTCTAGATCCCAGTTCTCAATTTCAGTCTAACAAGGCAAGTGTGAAAACTGTGTTAGTCCAAAGCCAAGGTACTGCCCTCCCCTTTCCTAACCACACCAGGGCCTATGTAGATTGGCACTTAATGCAGCCCTGCAGGCTCTCCCCCCCCAGCCACCCCTCTCCAGCAAAGCTTCCACTTGCTCTCCTTGCAGGCACTAACTCTTTGTGGGATTAGGGTGATGAGGGTTGCAAAAGCCCTTCTCCCTGCTGTGTTCCCCAGCCCTGCCCCGGGGCACCGCCTGGGACCCTGAATTAGGCAGGAGGAAACCAGAGAGTGAGTGTTGCACCCGATTAGCAGCCAGTGGGGTCCCTGCAGGGGCTGTGGGACGGCTGCTGGGCATCAGCACCCCCCAGCCAAGGGGGGATCCTTATCAGAGCACCGGAATAATTGACAGCTTGTGGTCTGTTGGGTGGACCAACACCCTTTTAGGGTGCTTTGCTCAGCTGGAGCTGTGGGAACCGCTCAGAGGTTTACAGCCCTGCCACACAAGCAAAGTGTACACAGATGGGGGGTAGTGAATAAATTATAAAACCATTTCAGTTCTGCAACCTGTCCCTCTTGAGACAGCTGCCCAAAATGCACTTTGTGGCCCCTCTCTGGGCAAAAGCATCAGAGCAGGCCTCTGTTAGCCCTGAAGTCTGACCACAGCTCCCATATGCGACTTCCTTCCAGCTTTCTACTTTGGGATCTGCCTCAGCATGACCCTGATCCTGGCAGCCCTGCTGAGCTCTGCTGCTACGGTGCGGGAATCGCAGCGCCTCACCGCCATGGTGCGTACTGGGGGGCACTGGCTGGGAGGGGCTTTTGGTAACCTTGGGCTGACACCCTTAAAAATGCAGTACTGGGGGCTGTTTTGCTGCCTTGTGCCTGGCAGCCTGCACGCCTGGGGATGGACATCCTGTTGCCCCACCCTGTGCTGCAAGGGGACATTTTTTGTAGAAGGCATGACTTTGCAGAGCTCTTCCAGCTGAGGATTGCATCCTTCTGCACCTTGTTTCTTTTGCCAAGGTACTGTGTATTTAGCTTTCAGGGTGGGGTCAAAGGGAGGTGCTTGTCTGCCAAAGCAATTGCAATGATGATGGTTCACAGCGGTTTTTTGGGTTTTTCTCACCAGGTCAACATGTGGTTTGTGTGGGGAAACCTTAGCAATGCAATTTTTGAGTCCCACTTTGTTCTGCTGACTTGTGACAGCAGTTAGCTCCCCTCCTTCCCCCCCTCACTGCAAATGTCCATCACAGTGGTGGTGCAAGGCATACAAACCATGGCAGCTTTGAGCCAGACCCCAGTTTCAAGCTCCAAGGAGAAGGTGAATGGGTAGCACAAGACCTGAAATGCCACATTTCTCCTCTCCATCATCCACAGTGAAATGCCTGTTTGGGCCCAGACCATGCCTGCATTAGTGACATGGACTGTGAGCTCAGCTCCGTTTAAAAGCACGGCCTGCACACGGGGCTTAGTCTGTACAGAGCAGCTTAACGTAAAGCAATTGCATTGCTGTCATACATAAACTAACTTTCAAGAGATTTATCTAATCTATGTAATTGGGAAAAATAATACTGATGGTGGAAATGAGAAGGGGACACCTTTAAAACCTAGTGTAAAGCAGCTACTAAGTGTTTTCACCTTTCACCATGAATGCTGCTAGCAGGGTATGTATAATGTCCCTCTCTTTTGCTGAAGTATACTTTAGCGTGTGCCTGCAATTACCACATCTAAAATGACAGATGGGCACATATACACTAGTGGAGATTGTCAGGGTTGCTTGAAAATATAGTTGGACTTCTCTGTAATAATTATTTGGTTGCCTTACTCCATGTGTAGTATTGTTAGCCATGAGGTAAAGAAGTTGTTAAAATTATAGCTGTTTCCTGAAGGGATGAGTTGAAGGAAAACATGTCCACCAAACACCAGCGTTGCTGTCCCTCCTCCAATGGCCACCTCATGCTGCTCTCCTTTCCCCTTGCCATGGGGGTGAGGACGAGTAGGTCCTTTCCTCCAGCCCCCCGTGGACTCCCCCATCCCGGATGGTTTGGTGCAACAGAGCTAAGCTCTGGACACCAAAGAACCCCCAAACTCTGTGGCTCCTTGGGCATCCTGTTCATTTTGCTTTAGCATTCACAGTTTGGCTCCTCTGGTGGATGTGGCCGTCTTCATTTGGGATCTCTGATGATACCATTGCAGCCAAGACACGATATCATAAGAGGAGGAGAGGGCGCCAGGTGCGTTCCCCGCGGTGCGGCATCCACCCCGCTCTGCTCTCCGCGGGAGATAACGGGGTGCCCCTGGGTGTCCTTTAAGCTCCGTTTCCACCGTCCCCGACGGCGTGAGGGGCTCGCGGGGCGTGTGAAGGCGCGGGGGAGGCTGCGGGGGGAGAGGGGACAGCTCCCAGCGGAGCCGGGGGTCGCTCCATCGCGGTGCTTCCCCGGTACCGGCCGGTCCTGCCGTGCCTCCGCCGCTGGAGGGCGCCGCGGGCCCGCCCGCTCCCCGCCGCACCGGGGGAGGCAGGGAAAGCGCTCCGGTAAGGGAGCAGCCACCGTGACCGCTGCTGGGGCGGTGGTGTGTCCCCAGCCCTTCAGAAATTAACGGGGGAGCGCTCGGGAAATACCCAAGAGCTGGTCATCAGCCCCTTGTCTCTGCTCCTCCTTGCTCGAGCAGCTCATCAGCATCTTCAATCACACATGGGGACCTTGGCTCATGCCTAGAAATTGCCCCCCCTGTTCTAACTGTCAGGATCTTACAGCAAGAGCCAGCCCACTGCGTGTTTTCCCCCCGGTTCCTATCCCCTCCCAAGGCTCGTATTTAATCTCTGATCTGCACGGGAGAGCAGCAGGCAGGAGAGCTGGCCCCGGGCTGTGGGCAGATGTAATCGCAGGGAGGAGTGGGGTTCAGCCCTGCGGGGCTCTGAAACTTGTTATCAGTGTCATGTCCTGCCCTGCTGATACCTGCTGGGCTGTAGCCAGCACAAGTGATCAGTCCCCGGGCTTGGAGCTTTTTCCCTACTAATTAATAGAATTTTTCACCTTCTCCCGCTATTGATTTTAAAGGACTTTTCCGCTCCTGCAAAGCATGTGTCTTGTTTAGAGAGCCATTTAATTCACTCTTTAATCAAAGAGGGAAGACACCAGAGTATTGGTGCCTGACATCTGTGGCTGTATAGGAAACCTAGCCATGCTCAGGGGATGTCTCCATCCATGTGGCTAATCCACCACAATGCCACTTGGTAAGCCAGCTACTCAGGGGAAATGCTACCCAGGATGCCCGTGGGCTTAGGGGAACATTGCCCTGGTCACTGACCTGTTGGGTAGATCCTGTCTCCCTGTGCCTCAGTTTCCCTCCTGACTTTTATTTTTTTTCTTCTATTTAAGTGATAAATGCTCACTCTGGCTGGCTATTGTTTAAAGCTCACTTATCTCAGGAGCTTGTCTTGTGGCTGCATTAGTAGCATCACCAGACCAGACATGTGCTACTGCGCCTCTACTGATGCTTGCAAGGAAGCTGGTTTCTAGAGAGCAACTGAGAACTTGAGGATAAAAAATTATGTTCTAAAATCCTAGACTATTATCCCCAAAGCTCCTCTTAAATAGGGAGAGTAGTGACAGGTTTATTGACTGTCCTCCAGTTCTGGCAAACCCTGCTTTTTGGTGATCCATGGTCCATCATGCAGTCAGTCCTCAATGTAAACATCCTGCAGCTCTCACGGCCCCTGAAGGCCACATCGCTATTGAAGGGGAGGAGAAGGAAGGAAAACTGCAGTTTTGCTAGTACTGCTTGTACAAAGGAAAGGCTCTGGCTCCGGTGGGGTTTCAGGCACAGCGAGCTGTTTTCTGGTTGGACAAAGAAAGGAGGTGAGGGGATTACAAAAAAAAAAAAAAAAAA